TCCAATAATTGAAACAAACAATTCTATCAAAGTCCCCATACCAAAGTAAGAAGAATATTGTATTATTAAATAAGAAAAAACAATAATTATTTTTACTTTATTTTTAACAAGAATAACAACAGAATATCGTGAGGACATAACAAAGGTTGCATCAAAAATTGCCGAGAATTCCAAAATAAAACTTCGACTTATTAGACAAGATGGAATGAAAGATTTAAAGAAGGATTCTAAAAAAAATATTTCAAGTGATCAAATTAAATTATTGGAAAAATCGGTATTTTTTAATATATATTTTATTTTTGGATAAATTTTTTTTGGATATTTATTAATTTGTAAAAAAAATATTTATATTATTAGCTTCAGTTATTTGTAGATAAATCTGTTAAAGAGATTGATGATGTATTGAAGGCTAAAACAAAAGAAATTTCAGGAAATTAAATTTAGTAATGTCAGCCGATAAATATTGTTGTTGTTGTTTTATTCAACGGATCATTATCTAATGGTTCACTATTACCATTATTTTCTTTATTATTAATTTACCATGGGCATTGGAGCAAATGAATGGTAATGAAATGAACTGGTTGATAAAAAATAAAGAAATAATATATTTATCAGCCGGCTAAGCTGTTTAAAAGTTCTTTGACTGGCTAAACCATTAAATTCATTAGTTGGCTGACAATACCATTAATATTTAAACGCCATCATCATCATCAAAAGATTGTATAATGTTTTTTCTTCAAATAAAATTAAATAAGATTAATAAATATTTATAACTCTATCAATCATTTATTATTTTATCACGTATACACACATGGACAAAAACATACAAAAAAAAACATTTCATAGCCTAGGTTTGTCAATTCTCTAGCAATTTTTTTTTGGCTGACATCAAAACAATGATGTGTATTATCATGTGTCAAAATTTTAGGTGAGATTATTTGAATTGATTTTTTTTGAAAGATTTATTTTGTCAAAAAACAATTGAAGTTTTTAAAATAAATAAACAAATAAAAAAGTTAATTTAAAAAATGACAAATTATTGAAGAGAAGAATCTTTTGACACTGAAATTTATAAATCCGTCAACCAAGAGTTTGAGGTGTAACGAGGTAAAAAAAGAATTCCCCTACCCATATTTTCATCTCTTTATTACCACCATCAAGGTAAATGATGGAAGGCCCATTCCTATATTGGTGTACAGTCATAAAATTTACTATTTCCCCATCTGAAAAGAATGTTGTTTCTTTGTATGTGTAATAATGCATTTACAACATTCTAATGTTAATTTGACCTTTCAAGTGATTCTGAAAGTGAAAGCAAATCCATACCAAAACCACCATATTTTAGAGAACATTCCTGAAGATGGTGAATGATGTTACTAAGGAGAATGAAGAGCTAGCTAATATAAAATTGGATTCTAGCATGAATTTCCAAACTTGGAAGGTTAGTAAATATATTAAACAATGGGCACAACAACAAGGATAATGAAATCCTAGCTAAGCAGGAGCCAGTCAAATATACAAAGGAATAAAGCCTGATGAACTGAGGCTAAAGAATAAAAAAGCAAAGCCCAACATACCAAGGCAGATAGTACAAATATATTATAGATATGCTGGCTCAGGCAGATAATAAAGAAAACATTACCAGAAGGAGGAATAAAATTCCTTCTCAAGGATTAATAGACAAAGAGCTATTAATAAAATCAACAAGAAAAGCAAAAGCAATTGAGATTAAAATATCAAGGAGCATTCAATCACATCTGTATAAATTTAAGTAAAATAATAATTAAAATAAAATATCAAGATTCACCATGAGAAGCAGATTTCAATCTCACAATATTAATAATATAGGGTATGCAGATTATGTATGTAAAATCATAATCTTTTGTTCTTGTGCAAAGAATAAATACAATTATATTAATTATCCAATATATACATTAAAAAAATAAACAAAGAAATAATAAAAAAGAGTTAATTACTCATAAAAAAAATTCAATATCAATAAAAATAATAATATGAAGTTTTAAATAAATAATTTAAAATCCAATTCATTGATCTGTTAATGACTCATAAAATTTCTTTATTTTTTCATCAACCATTATCTTTTCTCTTGTGAAGTTTAAAACCTGTAAAGATTCCAATGATTTAGCTTGAGACAAAGCAACATATGCTTGCCCTATTTACAAAAAAAAACATAATAATTTATTTATTAATTTATTACAATAGTTATATTATCATTGTTATGAATATGTATATAAATACCTTTTTCAAAAACCTCTTTCAAATCAATTTTGACTTTTTCCAGTGTTTGGCCCTGGCTTTTAATGAATGCTAACTGCCCAAGCAAGTATAAGAGGAATCTAATATTACATTAAATATATAATAAATACATACATATATATATTATAAAAAAAACTATACACATACATATAAGTACAAAAATACCTACTTGTTGTTTACTTGCTGATACAACATTATCAACAGTTTCTAGTTTCCACAGCTTCATGAACAATCAATTTTTTATTTTCAGCAAATCTAACTATTGGCAATATTTCATCTTTCTGGCCAAACTCCACAATCTCATCTTCACCATCATAATAACTTTTTTAGTAGAATTTGAATAAAAACCAACAATAATACCTCTACTCCCATTAACTAAATCTTTATTGATGTTTTTAATAAGCATTACTTTGTGCATCACATTTTAATTCCAATTTATCTTATGCCAAGCAATCTTTAATAAGTGTCTTTAATTTACCATTTTCTTTTGGTTCTTAGTGTTTAGCATGATATATATATGATTTATTTTGAATTTTACTTAAAAATGCAAGATTTGCACTATAGTAACTTTATCAATCCTTGAGTATCTTGTAATTTAACAAACAAACGAACAAATATTATTATAGAAGTATATTATATATATCATGAATATTGATCAACTTACAATTCTGTAACCTGGATTCCATCATTAGGATATTGTGGTGGAAGCTTTAATTTATTCATGATTCCCAATGTTTTTTTGGTCACAATGACCAATCTAATCTCATTTAACATACCAATAAAATCTATAGAATTAGAATTAACAATTAGATCAATTTATCAAATAGATGAATTATTAATAATAATTATTATCTATTCTTTTACCAGACTCCTTCTGTCTAAAAACTGTTGATAATTGTATCATGTGTTTTATACATTTAGTCCATGAGTTTGATTCAAAACAAAATTTAATATTATGATCTTTAGAAACTGGTGGTAGTTGGAAAAAATCACCCATGACTATTAACTAATAAATAAAATATATAAATATATATTTGTGTAAGCATTGAAAAAAAACCTCCAAAAATCATTATCATTATAACTTACTAATATTCCATCAAATGGTTTATCATTATCACAAATAGCTTGTGTAATTGCTTCCAGTTTATCAAACAAGTCCCCATCAAGCATTGAGACTATATATAAATTATAAAGTAATTAAAATTAATAAATAATCAAATAATGATGATTACTACTTTCTAAAAAAAATCAATTATACCTTCATCAATAACCAATGCTTTAATAGATTGCCATTGTAAATAATGGGTTTTTGATTTTTTTGATTTTTCAATAAGCTCTTTTGTTGATTCGGTACCTAGTCCTATGCCCGCAAAAGGGTGTAGAGTTGTGCTGGTGATGTTGACTGCTGCTATGCCGGTTGTAGCAGTGATCTTGAGCCTTGATGCATTCCAGTGCATTGCGCCCCTCCCCTAGAATTTAACAGCATCGTTATATCATCGAGGGGTCACAAGTCAGATTAGCCTTGTGTATACGAGGAACGTGTGAGAATGACTGTAAAGTGTTCAAGATAGCGTGCATGCTTCAACATCTGTAAATTTCTGATAATCAAACATCGCATATCGAAATGTTTTATACTCAACGATGTGCTGCCTTGACGTCTTCATGTAATTATATATTTATATTAATATTAATATAACTGATTACGAAAAGCCAAATACCAATCGTTCGTTGTTGATAAGGATCTTATAATTACCCAGCAAAATATTTGCAGTATATAAAATAAAAGACACCACATACATATCAATACAAATAAAAAAAATACCTATAAATACATCTGCTTCAGAGCCAAACCACACCATACCAAACAACATCACTCGCGTTTCATCACTGAAAAATAGATTGTTTCCCAAGGAAAAAAAACAATTCGATTCGTGTCTGTCCAAGAAAAAAAATTGTCAACAAAAAAAACCAATAAGGATAAATAATTAGTGTGTACATGTCGATCAAATCAATAATTATTATTTCTTTTTTTTGTCTCAACGAAACAGCAAAAAAAGAAGAGCAGAAAAAAATAAAGGAGAGGCAAAAGAGTAAGTGTTTATCATAAGGATAGTGGTGGTGGTTATCGCCACTTGTCGTCATTCCAGTTACCAACAATAATACCTATCATTATTCACGTTCTTTTTCTTCTTACAATGTGAACAATCAGGAAAAAATCGTGATTTTTTTAAAATAAAACCAATAAATGTGAAACTATCAGATGAGCAAACAGATAGTTTATGATCTAGCGGTAAATCAACGCGTGAATGTATTTTTCACCGGTTCTGCAGGAACCGGTAAAAGTTTTCTACTATTAAAAATCATCATAACATTTAAAAACATTTATGGGGTTGAAAAGGTTGCCGTCACTTTCATTAATCTTCCCTCACAGCACCCAGACCAGAGAAGGCTGCCGGCATGCTGACCAAAAAGTTGCCTGCAACGATCCTACCCCTAGGGTGAGATGGCTCTGTGACCAAGATGTTACAACTCTGGAGGAATATTGTGATAATCTGCAATTCATTTCAAGCGTAAGAGGCTACAATTCAGAGTGGGGTTGGTGATCCTGAAATTCGCTATGAAATAAAAGTGAATATGGAAATGATGGTAATCAAAGTAAAAAAAAGGTTATAATTGATAATCTTGGCGATGAAAAGTATGAAAATTTACATTGGATGAATTTAATGATAAAGTTCAAAAAGGTGTAAGTTTTTTAATTAAGTGGGTTGGGTGTAATCAATTAATTAATAGAATTTAAAGCATTGGTCGATATTATTATTTTTAATATTGCTTGTATTATTACTTGTTATTTCAGGCACATTTAGTAATTTATGATCGATATATATAAGAAGCTGGATTAGTGGTCATCCAGGAGGAGCAAAAATATTGGAGAATGTAATTGGAACTGATATTACTGATGGTAAAAACTCGGAGTTCTTTTTATATATTTTTTTTTACATTTTCACTTTACAGGTAAACAAAAATTGAATATATTTTATATATTAGATTTTTATCGAAAGAATACTATTGATGAAACAATCAAGCACCGTTCTTTCTCTTCACCTTCAGTAATAAAATCAAACAAAATATCGGCATTTGATTCTGATGTTATTGCAGCAATAGTTGACAATTTTAATAAAAAATATATTATTAAATCTCTGTTAGCGATTCACTCTCATAGTTACATTGCAACCAAGAAAATGTCAAAAATGATAATAGCAAAGTACATTGATCATTATCCCGACGACAATATTAATAATATTAAAGATCCAACATTTCATAAATTTAAATTTAGAAGATTTAAACTAATTGACAAATCAACAATAAATAATAATATCAAATTCTCAATCACCAAATTTACGTTTGCCAGTAATAATCATGGGAGAAGTGACGATATGGATTTGGATTATTTGCCCGGACATTATATTGAAATTCAGGCAAAAATTAAAGGTCAGATTAGGAGTTATACGCCAATTGATAGAAAAGTTATTGTATTCTAGTAAAGATTTATCCAAATGGTCTGATGTCAAAACATTTAAACAGCCTATTAATTGGATTTGAAATTCAAGCAAGAGATCCATTTGAATTTGGTAATAGAATATTATCATTATCAACTGATATAACATCAATAAAATCACCAATAACACCAAGATTTCTTCAACAACAACACAATAATAATAACATTCCAACTACACCAATAGAAATATCTAATAATCATTTTCTATTAAATATTATTGATAATAAGGATAATGATAATGATTATATTGACGTTAATAATGGATATTGGGATAATTTATATATATGTGGAGGAACTAGAATTATACCAATGATTTAGGTAAGAAGTTTTATAAAAATATATTGGATTGACGATTTGGTAAATTTTATTACTAATTAATTTATATTTTTTTTTTAGTACTAAAATATCATTTTGATGCAGATAATGAAAATAAATTATCAATGTATTTATTATATGCTAATAAATCTTTTGATGGCCAAATACTAAATTTAAAAGAATACTATATGGGACCACTTTATGAAAAATGCGTTTATGATGATTCCATAATTGATAACATATTATCTGTTGTTCATATATTTAATAAGCTTTCTGATTGTAGTGGAAAAGAAGAGAAATCACAGCAGATAAGATCAGTAGCAAAATTGAAAAAAAAATTTAAAAAATTGGTTTAAAGATATAATTATAAATAATGAATCGAAAGAGGAGAAGGAGAAGAAGGAGAGGGAGGCGAGGGAAATTCATTCGATAATATTATTCTTGAGATTCTCAATAATCAATTACAATCGCCTTTACTAGCAACGTTTCCATCAAATTTCTCTAAACAATCAAGTTCCTTATCAAATAGAGTAACTAATAAACTACCCACAGAATTAAATATACTCAACTCCAATTACAATAATAATGAATTACAAGATCAAATAGAAGAAGATCAAATTGTGGAGGAAGGGTTAAATAAATATATTAAAGATTTGTTAAATAAACCTAGTAATAAAATATTTGTGTGTCGACCAACGCAAATGAATGAAATTGGAGATATTTTGTCAAATGATATGAAATTTAATATAAACAATGACTATATTTTGTTAATATGATTGGTATGATTTAATGATTTAATAATTCAATTTTTTCTACATATATTAATATTAATAATAAGTTGTATTCATTATGAATTACCGTAGTCAATCATGTTTACGGGATCATAAATACTTTAAGTATTATGAATAACCAAAAAGTGCACCATATTCGGATAAAATTAGAATGATTACTATTGATAATGTGAAAAGGCAATTTTGAGTTAATGTCACTACTATATACAACTCTCTGGATTAGAAATCATACCCAGTAAATTGAGATAAAAATGCGGATCTTATTTTCAAAAAAAAAAAAAAAGGAATACTAAACGGAATCACGAAAATACGTATTAGTATTAATATATTAATATGTTTTGTACGTGATTTCATATTAATATCAATATTAATATCAATATGGATAAATAACAAGTTTATATGTATATGCCTATTCTAGGTAAGAGCTTCCTGCATTTTTATATGGTATTATTATTAAAAATTAAAAATTATCCTTTTGACATAAGTCATGTTATATATGAATGATATTTCACATTGAACTTATAAATCAGAATATGCAGATAATCTGTTTTGAAAACAATATTGATAATGCTAGTTTTTTAGCAGACAATGAAATAATAGATGCAGACAATAATAATATTGGTTATTTAGCAGACGATGAAATAGTAGATGTAGATGTAGATTATGATATTGGTAATGAAAATAGAATTGATAATGACAAAATTTTAAATAATAATAATAATATCAATTTAAGTAATCTAAAATTTCAATTGCGTTGCATCAAATTTTTACCTGTCATAATTTTTTACTCAAGTCAAAAGGTTTGGCTTGCATCAAAGGGTTTTACTCATGTCAAGTTTTTTACTTACCACTAAGTCATTTTGACAAATAATATATGAAAGTGGGAAAGGGTAATAATGAATGAGGATTATTATGATTGAAATATGTGCGGATTTATCCCCCCCCCCCCCCCCCTCAAGAGGTTGGCACCGCCTAAAGATTCTTATTCAATCATAAAAACGTGTGATCTTGAATTGGAGAGAAATCAATCGAATTTATAAAAATAATTAATAAATGGAGAAAAATAATTGATTATCTACTACTTATTATTATTATTACTATAATAAATTGATAAATAATCATATTAAATTAAATTTAAATTAACTTGCTATTTAATTTGCCTTATTAAAATTGTATTTCATTAATATCAAGGTCACTTAATAAACTATCATTGCTTTTCAAATTCAATTTAGCAAATTCATCATTTAATATTCTACTTATATGATATGCTAATGGATGTGATTTGTGAATTTGTTGTAAATTACTATTATTACTATTATTATTACCACTCTCAGTTTTAAGAGAAAATTCCCAAAGCTCTCTAATAGTTGGTCGCTTGGTTGGATCCACATCCCAACACCTTTGCATCATTTGTGCATAATCATCAGGTATTCCTGGTAATATTGGTGGTCGTAAACCTTCACATATTTTTAATTGCAAATGAAAATCATGTGCCTCATCATCAAATGGTGGATGACCTGCAAATATTTCCCACATTAACATCCCAACACTATAAATATCTGATTCTTTTGTGTGTTTTTTTCCTCTAAATAGTTCTGGTGCAATATAAGATATAATTCCATAAATTTTATTTGATGATTTTTCATCAACTGGCCCACATAATCCTAAATCTGTGATAAAACAACCACCTCCTTGTAATAATATATTACCACTATGTAAATCACAATGAATTAAACCTTCTTTATGTATAAGATATAATGCCTCACATAAATCTTTAAAAATTGTAATTCTATCTTTTGATGTTAAATTTGAATGATTTTTTTTTATATAATTTCTTAAATTTCCCTCTTCTAGATAATTAAGAACTATTGCATAATTTCCATTTCCTGGGAATTTAGTTATACCATGACAAGTAACAATTGAGCTTGATTTAATTTTACAATAATTCAATGCCTAAAATTAATCAAATAAATAAAATTAATTAATTAAAATAAATGGTTAAATTGAGTTTATTTTAAACAAGAACAATTACCTCATCAAAAAAAGGCTTTCCTGGATTACTTGAATTATTTAATGATTTTAATACTACTTGCTGAGTTCCAAAATAATTAAACACCTTTTTATTTTCATCATAGCCATCAATAGCTCCTCTTTTCCACTCAGCAGTATAAATAGAACTGAACCCACCCTCTGTTAACTTTTCTATATATACAAATTGCTCATAAGGTATCCATTCTATAATTCTGCCTGGAAGAGATGAAATCTGTTGACATTCTTGAATAAAACTATCAATTATCTCATTTCCAGATGTCCAAGTGCTGAAAAGGCTCTGCAAGTGTAGACTAATACACTTTTCACAATATTTATCAGAGTATCTTGTCGTTTTACAATTATTGCATTCACTTGGTTCACCCCATTTAAAGGCTGCATTATCTAATTCAAAAGAATGAATAAACCTTTCTCTGCAATATTCCTTTTCATTTTCTAATAGTTCTTGGTTTTCATTGACCAATTGTAAAAAATAATTTTTTCCATTTTCAATGTCAGAAATATTTGGAAAAGCATAATAAGCAATACTATTCATTTCGTTACAAATTTTAGCTACTAATTCTTTTCTGTCTTGTGTTAATAATTTAACGTATGACATTTTGACGTTTAAATATTTGTTTTTTTTTAAAAAAAAAATAAGTCTCCAGCAAAACAACCCCCGAGGTAAATAACGCATTTTGTGTAAATGGGGCATGCTGCAACAAAGTGAACGTTGGTATTACCAAAAATTTCAGGGTTCAAAATTGTAACTGTTTATTATTGCATGAAATGAATCACATAGCAATGAAGAAAATATGATTAGTATTTATGGTTGAATGAACATGCAGGCAATACACACTCAGAGAAAACTCTCCAACATAACAAACTTTATATGATGCAAATAAAATTTGATAACAATTTGATTTATGGCTTGGTTTAGTGATTATTTTAACTTGGTGATTGATTTATTAGATTTTTTTACTTGTTAATTATTTTTTAACTTTATTTTTAGTGTTTGTTTTAATTTAATTTTTTTTTTTAATTAGAGAAAAATGGAAGAGGTATGTATGAACAGGCGATTCAAAGTTCTCAAAGGGAATGTTTCCTTAAAAACAAGTTCTAGAGGATTATTCAACTTTCATGAATGCATGTTCAAAAAATACTATGTAAAACTGGAAGGTTTAAAAGTACTTTATTACCATTTTAGTTTTCTTGACATTTGATCAATGGCATATGATGAATTGTGATAGTAGTAGGCATTACTTGCAAATCACTGTGTAATGGATTTCATCTTAAAAATTTCCATCAGTTGCTTTACTAGTCACTGTGACTACTTAATGTAAACTATTATCTACTTATGACTAGACTATTACCTACCCATGATTTAGATTGTTACCTACTTATTTTAGATACCCATTTTTATTTGTTTCTTTTCACTATAGTTGTTGGCTTTCAAACACTTTCAAACATTTTTCTTGTCTGATACTGAGGCACTTGCACCAATTACAAGGGCTACACCCAAACTGGATGCAAAGCATCCTAGCATTCCATTGTGCAATGATGTAATTTTTCATAAAATATACTTTTTCGTGACCAAATGGTGCAATTGATCAAGTAGTTTAGTAGATTGCTTCGAAAACCTATGAATAGACTGCTTGTTATTTCCACTTGTGGTAAAAAAAAATATACATTGGTTTTGCTTTTTATGTTGCATTCAAATTCAAGGATTGAGGCATGTAATGCCAAAATGATTTTTATGATTTGATTTTTATGATACATTTGAATGCACATAATGTTGAAATGGTAATTTGATATTCAATCTCCCAGGAAGTAAGGCGTTTGGATGCCAATGAAGTGTTGATTCGGGATACTTTGCTTGAAGTCCTCCATTAACATCGATCAAAGGATCTTGACTTTGATCCCTACCTTAGTGAAGGTCATGATATAGCGCAACAGATAATGACACATTTGTATGAGATAGTAAATTGGAAACCGGCTTGAGGTCCCAATTATCATCAATCATTTCCTTTTATATTATGGGGACGTATGTATGTTTTACGAAATTACGTAAAAGATCATGTTATCTGTAATACTCCAAAAATATTTAAACACTTGGAAAAAAAGATTAATTAATCATCATGTTAACAACTGATTTAATAATTAACTAGTTCACCTTTAACACTTTGATAGTAAAAATAAAATAGTCTTTGACTGTAATTAATTAATAAAAATAGTGTAATTGATTAATGTTTGACCAACCTTTAATTATTAGTTAGGAATCCTTTTAATTAATTAGTTATATTACCAAGGGGATGCCTTTTGAATACAAGTGTACTATGGCATCAAATAAGGACTTCTTCAAAACAAATACAAATAATTAATATTGATGATGATGACAATGATGATGAATTCCCTGAGCTACCAAGTGTAGAGGAATTGTTAAATAAAGCCACTACACAAAAAAATGAAAACGAAAAAAATGATGAATCATTGGACTATGATGCTTTAAAAGATGAAACATTAGATATTCCAGGTGAATTGGTATTGGCTTATCCATTAAAGAAATACTATCCAGCAAAAGTTAACAATTATGAGAAGGTGTGATATTACTTTAATTATTTATTATTTATTTAATTGTTGGTGGTGTTGCATGTTTAACATTTCAATAATTAATTATTTATTATGTTGGTTATATTAAATAGCCTGGAAAGTATCATGTTATCTTTTGGGATGAATCAAAAGCAATCCTTAGTAGAAATCAATTTTATACAATTTGGGAAAAAGGATTTGTGACTTGCAAAGTAATGGAAGTTTTTTTTTCATATTTTCATATTTATATTTATATTTATATTTATATTTATATTTATCTTTATTAAAAAGTTAGGTGAAATTGTAATGGATAAAGAAGATCCAGATTATGAGGATGCAGAATTAACTACTGCAATTCTAGATCTTGAACCAGCATTGTCTAAAGTCCTATTAGGTGATGATAAATTGGCATGGAGATATGATCATTTTGTTGAGGGCAAGAAAAAGCGTCAGCTATTAGCTTCTCATGTTTCAGAAGGTCCATTTAACCAAAGTGAATTTGGTTTGATAGCAAAAGTTTTAAGACATTTGTATGTGCCTGATGTTGCAAATGCTATTGATAAGAAAGATAATATTGTCAAGCCTTCGGAATTGATCAAGTCTATTATGAAATTAAAAAATAAACAACATCAGGAAGAGGAAGAACAAGACAATCAACAAGAAATATCACTATTATCATCATCACAACAATTTTCAAATTCCATCTCAACTCCACATAAGCATAACAACTTAACCAATGCTGCTTCACACAAAAATTTATATCCACAATCAGAATCACCATTATCCCAACAATTCACAATTCCTGTTTCCACTTCATGTAAACGCAAACTTGATGCTACTCCACCCAAACATTCACACAAACAATCATCGCAATCACCAGCACAAAAAATTAGTACTGCTGCTGTTGCTACTTCTCCTTCTTTACCATCATTATCCTCTTCATCATTAAATTATAAATTGAAACTCCCATTTTTTAACTATTCATCCGATTTACAACTTTGATTTGTAAATGATGTGTTAATACCTGAAGCTATCATTAGATTGATCATGAAAAAAGATTGATTAAATTACAAGGAGGCTGATTATAAAATGACTGATGGCTATGAATATTTGAAATGGGTAGAGACTATTATGTCATCTAGAAGTTGCTTTAGTAAATAATATAAATAAATGTATGGGCTCACGAAAAGTTCATGGTTGAGGGTAAACTTTTTTTTAAATTCTTGATGAAAATATTATGAATACTTTTATTGATTATTTGTTTTTTAAACCAAAATAAAATTGTGTTTAATTGAAAGATTTGTTATTGAATTTTTTACCTGAAAAATAAGTGAATCAGTGATGTTTTTATAATGTTCCAACATAAGGTGGGAAATATTTACCTTGTTTCAATGTCAATAAGAGAAAAACAAAGATTCATAGACATAGTCTTTTCTTAAGTTCAAACAATAAATTTTTTTTTTGATAAGCAATACAATATGATGATGATTTGCATGGGAAATTTTCTTTGTCAGTAAAAAAAGATAGATCAATATTGTAATAATAAGATTTATTGCATATTATTTCTCTTCTAAGTATTTGGGACAGTCTCCAGCAAAAACCACCTCCAAAAAATTCCGAAGAATCCTGACGGGGCTTTTCGGAGCTTTATTTTCCCAAGAATATTGTGGTTAACTTTTTCATACT